TAAACTAGCTGGTTTAAAAAACTGAGGAGGTTTTTAAAAGTATTATTCCTAGTTTGTTTTTCTTGGTGCAACAGAGGTGACCTTGAGTGAGTATGTGAGTAAATTCTGTTTTGCAAGACCTGTTTAAGCGAATCCTCATAACTTCTGAGAATTTGTTGCAATTACAGTCCAAAGCTTAACACTTTTTTCCGATATCTGGTAACTACTGTGTGGACCAAGTCTTCAATATATTCTCTTAAACTGTTTATGGTATTCATATCATATTCAATAGAGAATATGCGCAATTAAAGGTACCTTTAGGAGAAACAAATCATAATCATATTGCGGACATAACACAGTAAGGAAAGGATAGATAATGAATTAATACAACTGCCAATTATGAAAAATTTGAGTGGAATATATGTGTACGCATTTACTTCTGGTATTAACGTTTGCTCAAGGACGTAATCCTTACGCTGATTTTCTTATTAAAAATTGGCGCGCTCTTGGCGGGGTTCGTGGCAGCTGCGGATCGAAGTGCGTGCGCAGCGCCCTCTGTGACTGCTAGCCTTCCAGTTCTCTCCTCCATTTTCTCCACTCGTGGGGACATTCATCCCTGCAGAGCCCCTTTGTCCAAGGGGTCGGTGGGTCGTACAACGCCTCTCACTAGGCCAATCAGCCGTAGGAGTACAGGAATTCGACGGAGAAGGTTTTCCTGGCCCCTAACTAACGGCAGACAGTAAAGATTTTCACACTCTGAGAAAAAAACGTTGCCCGACGTTGTTAGAGGAACTTCTATGTCTATTGTATTAATAGCGTACCATAAGAAAAGCCGTGCGAGTGTGCTTTTATAAACGCATCCATTCAAGGAGTAGCCTAAGTGAGGTTGCAGTTCGGAACTACAGACTTAGAGCTTCATCTGAAGCTAACGGAGTTTGTGATTCCTGTGAAGCCAGATTACAAATTAGCATCCCGAATCTCGAAGTGTCGTCCATTCCGAAAACCGCACTTACAGAATAAATACCAACCATCAGCAACTCAAACAACTGGTAAGGGTAGGTGCTAACAATACCTTACGTCAAAACCAAGGCTTACGTGCAGCAAACGAGTATTATCATCCTTGCTTGGTTTATGTAGACCAAGGCTTTCGTATAAGTGAGTGTATAGGAATATTTACCTCAAATTATATTACGAAAGCGTTTCCCAACAGCTTTTACTTTTATATCAAGTTCTGATAGTAACGCTGGTTTTTCTATAGGTTGGGAATCGTCATTAATTCCCTTACGATGAAGTGCGTCCACAATGCTTCTTCATTGATTTGATATCGTTTGTCGGGTTTGATACGGGTACAGCAGGTGGACATTCCATTTAAATTTCAAGCATTCGTATACAAATTATTTAATAAAATATCTTATTGAACACACGTATGCTAGAAGATGACTCACTCGTGTTAGAATATGGCTGTATATTTTTGACAAAACAAAACTACACAGGACAATGATATTTTAAGCAGAATTCTGTAGAGAGCACACTAAGGGTGTTAAGTAGATGGTAAAATATATCTATATGACATTTGGCTTTCTCTAGTTTTTTGCTTTATTTTTTTAAGACCGCGTGTTGATATAGATGAATGCATATCGACCTCGAAAAGGATCTCTTATGGTGTTTTCCTCTCAGAAAGGTCTGGCTGCTTGTTCATCAATGATAGTCCTTCTCTGTGATACGTTTAAAGAGGTGGCCCTGACCTTACTTACATTACTCGCAAGGAACGAAATCTTGTGTTCATCCAATAATCAGTTGATTTGACCTATATCTTAGTGCAAATGGCAGAGTATGCTTCCCGACACAGTTGTTACGTTTGTTACTAACTTAGATTCATTAGGATGCTTTCAGAACTGGGAATGCCTTAAATATATATATATATTCGTTCCTTACTTTGTAGTGGTGCTTTGATTACATTTCTAAGTGAAGCGTACTCAGGGCACCCAATATAAGAATACGATGCTTGGAGCATTACAATTACATGTAAATTATTGAAGGAATTATGGTTTTAGGTCCCCGTTTGTTATGCATAGTGTATGATGATCTGGACTACACTATATGTTTGTCGATTTATATATGTCTATAAACATCAAATTCGGCTTTTAAATGTTGCGTTTTGAGTACACAAATAACTTCTCGACTATATATGATCTATAAGCCTAGAACTAGCAAAAGGACCTTTTTGCTTACGTCCCAGTAGTTTGTAATCTATGCGGAGAGGCAACTGGAAAGACCATACAGGCAGTTCGAAATTCTATAGCGCATTTCGCATACACCGTGTCGTCAACTATGTCCTCATTAAACGAAGTACCTGTAATGAAGCAAGTGTCCGCATAAACGATCGTAAGACGTTCAGTACAGATGATGACGTTCAGTACAGATGATAAACCTCATTGCTGGCATCCTCTAATGTTTCCTAGATGCATACTCGAAAGTCTTTCAGATAAAAAGGGTTTGCCTATAGTGTTTCTCACATATACAGAAATTTGTTAAGTTGTTATTATTTATATGTAAAACTGGATGGTTATATATGCTGCTCGTTCAGATTTCGTAACTAACTTTAATTTTCTGTATGAAAAGGGATACGCAGCGCAACATTAAATTAAATGTACTGGCCGCAAAAGGATATCAGCCGAAGGATGAGAGCCACTAAGTATGGCCAGGTTGTAAACATCAATTATTACATTGTCAATATTTGAACGCATTTTTGCATATATATAAGCGAAAATATCTGGTATTAAGAAAATATCTGTTCCTGTATAAAAAAAAAACGATAAAATAAAGCCGGCCTGCGTTAATATCTATATATGGGCTAAATGTATCCAGCTTATTATGCCCCTACAATGGAAAACAGAACAGAGTTTTAGTGTGGGTTGCGTTTGTTAATCCGCCCCAAAGGACTCCATTTACATTATACATAACAATATTGTCCGCCAAATATCTTAGAGATCGCTTACAAAACTTAATCCGTTCTATGTAATTTTAAATCACGGGTCTGCATATTTTAGCATCAATTTCACCAACTACTTTACGAATACGAAAATGTGTAGCCAATGAAATTTGTAATCTCGGATATCGGCCGCCCAGCGCACAAGACTCTCTATAATGCCAATTCTCCGATTATTTTCAAAACACAACGTACCTGGCACACCTATGATGCTGCAATCTTATTGTTGACAATTTTTTTCGAGCCAAGTGTAGCTGGTGCTATTTATCTGTACATACATACACTTTATCGACGTGTAACGTAACGTAAGGAGAACGTGTATGCGTGTAACAGCATCCGTAAACTGCATCAAAACGTCGGAAGTGCTTTTATTTCATCATTCTTTAGTAACAACAATTCTAAGCTTCATTGTTGCTGAAACCTCCGTTTTCAGGAAACTTGTACCACGAGTGACCGGCTGTTGCCGCTCAATATACATATTAACTAGTAGAACCCAAACAGATTTCAGTGTTTTATTTCAAGTGGTATTCTTCCCTGCCTTTCGTCACTGGCACCAATTCGAGGTGTACTGTCACTCACGATTTTTTCGTTAGGAGTTTTTTTACGAATTAGTTCTCTTTCCGTTACTGATTGAAAAGAACGTCTGTTTTTAACAGATATGCTCTTCTTTGAAAGATTTAAAATATCAAGTATTGAAAACACTCAGCTAAGAAAAGCAACGGTGACTGAGGGATGACAAGAGCGAATGCTTTGCAGCAATGCACTTCGTGCTCCTATAGCTGTACTTAGTCCTAAATTCATATAATATTATTTGCCTCTTTTGTAAGTTGGATATACATACAAAATAGAGCACCTAAATCATAATATAAATATTTCATAATACTGAAGTCAGAATAGTTCATAATTTTTAGTACTGTATCTAGACAAAAGTAAGTTTTTTTTGCACGTACTAGAAGTTTTGTGTTTATTAAATTTTTATTAATACTTAATAGCTATTGAAAATCTACTGGTTTGTACTCTAAGAAACCGCGTGGAAACTAGCAGTAATGTGGATATCGATATCGGGAATCAAACAAATTCGTACCGCATGATGACCGTTGGATGATAACTCATTTTTGCTCAAACTCTAATAATGACACACGTCTGTTTTCTTCTAAAAAGAACTAGCCTTTTTCTGGTAACATGCATGGTGAACTGACGTGTGCCAGCTACTATAAACAGCCAGTTAAGATTCGATTGCCCTGTCTTGTGTACCCATATTGTTCGATTTAGCGTACAGAATTAGTTCAGCTTTTTTATACGAGGACGTTTGATATTCAGGTACCAGCGGATATATCACCTTGAACTCATAATCTGCAACACGATAATAATCGTACTCGAAAAAATTACATGATGAAGCCAAGTTGTCAGCCACCTGTTTACCTTTAACAGAATCTTTAGTCATCGACTTCAAACATCCTATTCGCAATGGATAACCTGTTTGCCTGCTGAATTCAAAGATACCTGTTTATCTAGCTTCGAGTGGACACACTTTGTTTAGTACCGAGAGCTAGTTGTAGTAGTAATGTCGAGCGGCCTAACTAGTAGATGTAAAACACAAAAAAAAACATGTATCAACTTTGAATGGCCGAGCAAAGCGGAGTATACTCTCCAGTTTCAAGTTGCCATTATCGAACTTCGCAAAACAGTCTTCTCAGCAATTGAGTGCGTACTGTACAGGGCAAAAATATGCTGGATTGTTTCGGCAGCTTTTTGACATTAACAGAAAGCGAAATACAATAGGTGTCAAGCATTTTTTCATGCAAAAATAAACAGTAGAAAGGCCAAAAAAATAAAGGAAATATTTGAGGAAGACGCCGTTACCATTATAAGATTCCGTAGAAGTGTAAGAGGGCTCGTCGTTAGAAGATGCCGTCCTTAAAGTTTTTCTTTTCGGCTTCTTTTGTAGGAAAAAGAGAAACAAGGAACCGGGCAATTTATAGATTTTTCATATCTTCTGAAAACTCGGAAGTCGATTAATATCGAAACCCAAAGCTTCTTTACGTCAATTTTGTAAGTGACGGATATATAACGTTTGAAACTAATTTACCAATTGAGCAATACAAGTAGACCAACTGAACTTAGAAGCGTTATATTGTGATTATCAACGAAGTGGGTACTAAAGCTTCTTCAAGTTGACAGGAAGCGATTCATTCAAATCAATTGACTAATAAGTTCACACAATACTCTAAAATTAAATTACTTGAAACTAAATTGTAGTCTCGATATTATTTTGGAAAAGACATTAGTTAACTCAATCAATGTTCATTTTTTTAGCTAGATATTCATAGAATATAATACATAATATGTAGTTCATAACGTCTGGAAATCGTAGTGCCAATTTTGTTAACTTGGCAACATATGGCTCATGACACTTCATGTACAACAACTCATAGTATTTAGTATTTATTTATTTAGTTTATTTATTTTAATATTTATTTAGTAAAAGGTACCTTTTGTTGGAAGTGAATCTTTCACTTTGGCTTTACGAACGGGTTATTTGATTTCACTCTGCACGTCAACGCATCCGGCCGAAATGATACATCATTGGCGTAAATGTACAAATAAAAATTACATTCCGATTGTGACTAGTTCTATTTTTCAACGTCTTTGATAAAAGGAATAACAGTATCCTTCGAAAAATATTTGACTTCGTATTCAAACTTGTAAATGGTTTATTAGCTACCTGAAAACAATTTTAAAGTAGCGTAAAGATTAGCGATGCACTGAGTACATCGAAAACCTATCCGCTTAGAGTTCTCAGTATTCTCCTTAGTGCCTTTATCGTTTCCCGTTTTTATTTCAAACGATGAAAATGTAGTGCGTGCCTAATACACGAATTCTATGCAGATCATCTTAAGCTCTTTGTAAAATGAGACTGACCGCAACTTCTCACAATGCACTATGACTACAATATCAACATGTTTATTGACAAGTAAGATTACCACTAGCTGCTAGAAGCTGAAATTTCAACTGCTGTTGATTCTTATCATTATATAATTAATATTAAGATTTCTTAACACAATATTTAGTTATTTTACATGTACATAAATTTGTATAAATATCTGCGAAGTATTTCGAGATATGACGGCCGTCCTTGAAAAAGTAACCGAAACATTGGATAATGTAAAATCGGATTTCATAAAACGGGTGTTGAAGACATGCAACGTTCCAAGAGAACGAATGAATTATAGGTGTGTTGAATTTTACAGGCCAGTACGATTGATACAGCTGAAAATATAAGCGGATAATAATATCTCAGTAATCTCGGGAACGGTGTTGCAACCTCATCTTCGGCGCTAATTAGCCAAACAAATGGCTAGCCAGTTGGTCCGATTTTCTGCTTTTCGGAATAATTACTGTTTGCCTCGCGTGGGTTGATAAAATGAGTACGAAATTATTATATTTTTAAACTATTCAATGGTGTGTGGTATTTTTGTAAAGGTGATCGTATTGAATTTGTTTAAACGTGGACTGAAGGGTTGAATTTGGAATATAATTTATTTTAATTAATATAACTTTAACCTATTTTAAGGTTTTTTTTATGTACACTTGGTACAAATTTAAGCCCCGTATTATACATGTAATTTGTAGTATGGGTCTTGGATATTATCATCTATGGTAATTTTCTCCTTGCGGTTCACTTTCGAAAAGGTATAATTCGAGGACAATATGTCTATGTAAATACTACATATTTACTTAACTTTAAAAACTTACATAACCTTTTTGTGAAAATAAATCTGGGTAAAGTAGTTTTAAATATAATAACTACTTTACCCAGATTCATTTTTGAATTCCAAATAGTAACAAATCTGTATTACTTTTGATTCCAGTAATTCTTGCTCTCGATATAAAAAGGAAAAGTAAAAACGAGAAAGTCATCCAGTCACACAAAATGGCTGCCGGAGGATCTTGGAACTCTGGAATGGAAGGGCTGATTCCCATCGTAAACAGGTATGTCTTTTAATCCTGTCTTGGTCAAATCTGTAAATACGATCTTCTCGCTCAAATATAGTAAATATTTATGCACCGTAAACTTTTGTTAGCCTTCAGCATTTAGAAGGACGGAACATTCGGGACGTTAAGTGCAAAAGTCAAATATCAGTTATAATAATTATTATTAAAAACTTGAAAGGTTTTTGCTGCATATACTTTTTAGGGAGTAGAAAAAATGATGTCTCTCGGATTTCTCGAAAACGTTTCTATCACATAGCCTGCGCATATGCTTTCTATCTATTCAGAGAGATCACAATAAATAAACTACTACAATAAGGAGTTTTAAAGTTAGTGTCAAAATATCTGCAACTACGCATCCTTTGAACAGATTTGTTGTGTTGTAATATGGGCATCTCGATCTGCGCATTTCGTTCCCCGTATTTTAGCATCTTCCTATACATAAAATATTCTGCTTCTCTATGTCGCAATGCCGATTCAATGCTTTTCCGTATTATAATTTAAGTTTGTATGTTGATTATATGTATTTATATAATTCCAATAAGTGTACATATATGAATAGTTTGTACACAATAAGTAAAATACAAAATTATACTTGCATTGTATTTCTCAACCAAGGACACCTCTATTTTTGTAGCGCGAAGCAATTAATTTTCTTGCAGATATTTAGGATTTCGAAGGGTAAAATACTAAAACACGGCACTTTTCGATATAGGGTTTGCCTATCGCAAGAGAGGTCATTCCATTCACACTTGAATGTTTTTCTCGTATAACGTTCATCGCCATAAACCTTTTCCATATTAGTTTAATACCACACCAGTATTTAGTTTTAAACTCTCAGGTTTCAGCAAAAAAGACAAAATTAAAAAAAAATGTAACTCTTATTTATAGAGAGACGTTCCTTATCCTGTGTCAGAATGTATCTAAACATATCATTATTTTTCTAAATATTAGTAATAATTTAGAAAACATTGAAAGGACCAGGCAACAAACGTGCTTTTACAAGGTCTAGATTCGCGGTAAAAGCTTTTGTTTTTAAAAACTCAAATATAGAAAATATACACACATGCGTTATAACTAATAATCCTGCTCACAATTGTGTTCAATCCCCTGAAATGTTCTTGGATAATGTTCTTCTTGTAGCTTTTGAGGTCGAAAACATGTTGGCTCACAGTCTATGCTATATACATATATAAGGTATAGTTTGAGCTCAAGGCTGTCAACAGGGCTCTGAACTCGGATCAATATCAGTAGGATATCTTTTTTATTGTAAAAATTCAATAGTACACTAAATAAAGGCGTCTAATGCATATAGAATGTATGACATAATGGCAAAGTCTATTTTTCTATTTCATGTGCCTTGCAAAACCACTAAAGCTTATGGAATTCTTTCCAGGCTGCAAGATGCATTTTCCAGTCTAGGTGTGTCACTCGCGCTCGATCTGCCACAGATTGCTGTCGTCGGAGGTCAGTCAGCGGGAAAAAGTTCGGTGCTTGAAAACTTTGTTGGAAGGTATTTATTTCATAGTTGACTCAAAACTACTTTATTAATTGTAACCAAATGTACGCTGTTTTTTCAAATGAAGCAACATAGTGAAATAACGTATACTTTGCATATGCGTTATATTTGAAATTGGTGTCGCTACGGACGCCAGTTTAGAAACTCGATGAAAACCATGACTGTTTTTAGTTTTTGAAGTGAGACTTCAGTGAAGATCGGTAATGTCTGGCTGAAATCGACAGAATAAGTTTACGTTGAAGCTGCAGGTGCTAGCAACGACCTTTGAGATATCTGTATACACAATTTTGGAGCACTGGACGAAACGGGAAATGAAGAAAATGGAAGAATTTAATGAACCGATAATGAAGAGAGTAAAATGTGTAACAACACGCGTTTTGTAGAAATCAAGCAACCGAAAATAACAGATCTTTATTTTTATTTCGCGTATATACTATGACTTTACAATTAGGCAACTTTCAAAAAAGGCAGATGATTAAAAATCAAGAAAATGTAAAAATGTAATATTATTCAATTAATCGAATCCTGTGCCTTAGTGTTTTATGGTATTGGAATAAGAACGATCGGTCACTTTGACGAGTGCTATCTTCCAAATTAAAGTAAAACTGTTTTAAGAGAAGACCACTTTAAGAAATGAAACAAATAATTTTTTCACTTTACACCTGTGTTTTAAAAGTGATTTACAAAGACAGAGTCGTTATCCAATTTTTGATCACTTTATATAGGAAGAATTGCAGTTTCACGATACTTTCATCTTTATTTAGCGGAAAGCACAAAAGATCGCCCATTCAACCCCATAGATACTTGTAAAACTTCTTGCAGTGAGGCTCTACGATTCGCTCACTGAAGCCAAAATACACATTTACGGTTTTATATAATGTCATTGCCTGAGCAAATTCGTACTTGTGAGAATAGGGGAGATGGCTTATTTTTTTTTTCACTTTCGATGTTACAACACGACACAGTGGTCTCAAGGTACTACATAAATATACGTGTGCAACATTTCCTTCCACAGGACAGTCATGACTAGGAACCTATATCGGTTTTTACGCCGGACGATATCAACAGTGATGTCAACCCTGTATTGGTAAACGTTGCATTTTTTCTAAAGCTGAAGGAACGTCCGTTTGATCATTGACGATGCTTTACGGTGTATTAAATTAGAGCTTTCAATTCTGTCTTAGGAAGAAGAGGCGACGAGCCAATAATTCTTACGAAAGTATTCCTCTTAATTCAGCAGACAACCCATACGTTGGAAGAAAATGCGCATCTTTAAAAAGTTCTTTAAAAATTTTAAAAAAAGCGTTTTAGGGATAATAGCGTTATTAGTTTGAGCAGTTCATATCAATAAAAAAAAATTGTGACCTTGGTATTAAATTAATGTGCGTAAATAAAGCAGGAAAGTCGAACTTACTGCATTCTACTCTGTTTACAAGAGTTACAAGTTTGAGCCTTCTTATACGATTGACAAGTATTCGTCAAGGACGCTTCGTCGAAAACTCAACTTGGATAATCTGCTTAATAGAAAGAGGAATCCTTATATCGCTAGCCATTCGAGGTATCCAATCAATAAACTAATTTCTCGTAAAATAATATTAAATCTTACGAGAGTTAAGCAAAATATTGTCGAATGTGGATTTGTTGGACCGCTGTGATTAGAACTGCTGTTTATACCAATCATAGCTTCACTGGTGCTCATCTTTTTGAATTTTCAGCTAACTTTCTTATGTATGTTGAAACACCGTAGATTTATACAGTGAGGTATTATTACGGGGGTTTACCCGAAAGGGTGCCTACGACCTAACTGAGCTTCCTCAATCCTCTGTCAAAACCCGCGAAAAGCAGGCTTACATTGCGCAGTGTCAGCTCCAATGTGAAGTCCCACATGCCATGTTTTCTTTTATCGGTTGTTGGTTACCCGGTTTGTAGGTCTTGCTGAACTTTGGTTTTATCAATGAAACGGCATCGTAACCACTTGCCAACGCTATAATTTGAACTAGCGGTGGTCGCATATTCATGGCTGCTATGGCAGCACACACAAAGATATGAACATTTGATACTCAGACCAGTAAATTTTGTTTCAGAGAGGATGTAAACACTTACAACTATGGTAAAAAAACAGTGGGCCTTTTTTGGAATTTTAACAAAGGTCAATTATTATTCAGTGTTTTACCCTAAAACCTTACCCCAATCGACCATGCACGACAATACAAATGAGTATGCGGTTGCAAACGAAACAGAAACAGGTTTCAACACAACTCGATGGAAAACCCACGGCAAACAAAAAACGGGATATAAAGAATGAAGCCGCAATTTGCCTTGGATTTCTCTCCGACAAAAAAATGTTTATCCATGATGCAAAAATCAATCGTAAATATGATTTCTATGGGTCTACTATGGATGAAGACAATTTTGAAAATCTAATTTTTTGGTAAGAATTTTGGAAATAACCACATGTAAACACCGTGCTTATCGTACAGCATAAATGTGAGTTTGTTGGATGACAATGTATAAAGTGTTACTGGGCAAAATCCAAGAAGTTTCGGCCTGATAAAGCCTACTCGCACACTTATGTCATCAAGGAAGTGTTAGCATAAATGTAAAGGCAATATTTTTACAATAAGCTTGTGAGGCTACCAATTGAAGTAATCGAGATTAGCCATAATTGCATTGAGTGGTGATATTTTTCGCATATGCAGAGCTTTAATTACAGTACTATTATCTTCATGTAGATTTGAAAACAAAGTCCGAATTTAGCCTGGTCAGATTAAAACAAACTGGACAGGTCGTTTGTCCTTTCGTCGTAACGGACATGCGTCTGTCCTCTAGTCAAATGAAGTAGTTCTTTCTAAAATAAAACAACAAATTCATCATGGCGAACAACAATACGTCGTTTTCGGAACTTGAGCGAAGACTTTCATGGAAAATCTGGAGAACATTTCAGAAAAACCAATGTGGAAGAACTAACTATATCTCGACTATTACAAGATAGATCGGCATGATGTTATTATTTTTTGATGTTCTTGAAGCATAGTGATAATAAAAGTGCGAGTTATATATATATATATATATATATATATATATATATATAATGTATATGTATATGTATGGTGTCTACCATACATATATATGTAAGGTCTAAATCGATTTAGCTCATTTATCACGCATATATTCAGATACGTCGATATCCCACATAAACGTATGAATCCGCATACAGACTGACAACGATCGTCGATATCGTAAAAGAAAAGAATAAAGTTCCCAAGTTTCAATACTCGATTTTCGTTCGTAATCCAAACAGCGCATTCCGGACCGCTTTGCCTCTGAAAATTTGTGCCTCTGAAAGTTTGAAAAGGTGCCTTCCTTTTGTATAAGCACATATTCCTTCAACAAATAGCGAGAAAATTTATCTCTTACCCAAATATGAGTATAGCTGGTGCTTCAATATTCGATGCTTCAAGGGTGATAGGTTTTACTAAGCTGAGTACATCTCTTAGCGTCATAGAGCATGATTTAATGATAGTACTTGACAGGCAGATTTAACGGAAATATAAGCGCACAACAGTCACTCTTTTGCTGAGTAACTCGAGATACACCTGTACAAAGTCTCTTTTATTTAATACATACTTAAGGTTAGCTGGATAAAAACGTCTGCTTTTTAGCGTTAGAATGGGATTATTTTGAAAATCCTACTATAACCAACAAAGCAGCAAACCAAGGATTCTCCTCGTTAATTTAATCTCAGCTTCTTTCGGCCATAAGGGAGTTCTTATGGTAGAGTATAGCAAGGTACATTTTCCTTAATACAAATCCTGTCAGAATTCGCGAAGTAGATTATTCCTCAGCTCGAATATAGGATTCTATTACAGCAAATATACGCCTGTTGGCTATACATAAAGCCTCCGAAATACTACATGGTATTTGAAATTGAAATGTAGAACTGGCGTATTAATCAATAAGGTTATAAAAAGATCGATTATATTCGTGTAAATGAGCTGGTATTTATATTGCATTTAATTTAAATATTTGCAGGGATTTTTTACCCCGAGGTTCGGGCATTGTCACGCGACGACCTCTTGTTTTGCAGCTAATTAATTCGAATACGGAGTATGGCGAGTTTCTCCACTGCCGAGGAAAAAAATTCACGAATTTTGATGAGGTAATTACCCTCAGAATTTCCTCTATTAATACACTAATAAAGGACTCAGACCATACGCATGGGATCTATAATCTCAAAAATTGCCATGGGTCAAATAGCATTGTCCAGGGTTTACTGTATAATTGTAATAAGTTTCGAGTTTTGAACATGGTTTCTATCAAAGGTCTCTTAGCACGAATACCATATAATTGGCAGCGGTGGTAGGGATTCAATCCTTAGCGCCCAGAAGTTTATAATTCAGTTCAAGGTTCTATCCATTCTGTTACAGCAGATTCTTATTATCAGGATAGTAGTAGAGCAGTGAATCTCAGTAAAAAAAAAAGTTATTAAGCGTTTATTCGATCGAAATTAGAATTAGCTTCATTAGTGCATCTTATGAAATTTACAGCCTCGCATTAAAAGAATGATTTTAACCTTTTTCGCTAACTCGTAATAACCGTCTTTTCTGTTCTGTGCTGCGTGTTGCTATTGTCATTTGTGCGTCTATTTTCCACGAGTGCAGATTCGTAAAGAGATCGAAGATGAAACTGATCGCGTGACAGGAGCTAACAAGAACATTTCACCTGTGCCCATCAACCTTCGAGTATACTCTCCACATGGTACTAAAACGATAGATTTTTATCATTATTATTATTGCTTTTCGAAAATTTGTACAAAACTTTTGCCTCGCTTGAACAATTAGTTCTTGAGTTCATGAACTATCATATGTCATGACTGGTTAGCTTGGAATTGGCACTTCCGTATTTCGATTAACAAAAATAATTTCCATCGATTAAATGCTATAGATATTGTTAGTAGAATATAAAAACCCTTTTTGACGGAATTGGTTCATTTAAATATAAATTTCAGCTAATTCAAGATAACAGTGTATATATTTCTAAGAAGATAATAGCAACATTTGATTTTATTAATGAATGTAGAAGCTGAAAGTTGAGTAGAGGTTAAATGTTCCTATTATTTTGTATGTAGTGATCGACGCTACATATCAAGTTTATCACCCTATTCATTTCTGCAAGAGTAGTTTAGTAGTAATAGATACAGCACTCATATTTTATTACGTCGTATTTATTACACATTTTGCCTTTGAGTGGGTTAGTTTCACTGGATTGTGTTTTTGCCCTGAAAACCTAAATTTTCCGGTTGGCCGTACAAGGTGAACTTAAACGGATTTGCAATTCTAGATAACGGTGCTGTCCTTCGCGTCGCTTCCGTTAATAAGACTTAACCTTACTTGCTACGAACAAACCGGCCCGAACGAGTCACACCCTACGGAATGGCAGGAAAAAGCCCGAGGAGGAAGCCGTATGTGCAGTTTCGCTAATTCTACAAATGTAAATCAAATGCCTGGATAGCTGCCCGTTCACTATGAGCTGTGTGTCATTTTTATTTCACCATAAATTAAAACTGGTGTAGGAAAACCTGACGGAGCCAGTATTTTACACCCAAATAACCGAGGTTGCCGATCAACCTCCTATGGCCGCTTGCTCGCTCGCTCGCTCGCTCGCATCTGTCGAGGAAGGTCATACTAGCAATAGGCGACCATCCTGTAGGAGCTTGCACTCAGTAAACTAATTTCAAAGAAAATACTGGTGGTGGTTCCACCTGTTACCTGGTCATCTCTAAGTTGGGGTAGCATATTAATAGCATCACCGGAGTCGTCACGGTTTTTCAGTAAACAGGATATTGCGAATGCTCTAAGCTCGAAAAAAGCTTACATATCATGGCAATCGAAAGGTTTGAAGTAAACATGAAACTCTCCCGGTCCGACTCTAGCTGCATGTCTTATCCGTACCTCTGTTCTCGGCCGGCTGTGAGGCCGATAATGACACAATCACAAAAAGGGCCGCTTTAGATGATGGTTTTTTGCTTCTCTCCCCTTACCGTTATACAGAAAAAAGTTTTAGGGCAGCCAATGTATCTACAAGAAATCACTGCCATTCTTCTTTAAAAAATCAATCATTTTTTAAAGGTTAAAACGCTACAAGAAAAAGTAAGCACGATACGTTCCTGCTAGTGACCCAGAGCACGCCGAGTAAAAAAGTCAGGAGTACGCAAACCGTAATGGTAAGATGTCCCGATCCAGCAAGCGCAAACCTTTTCTAGGGAAACCTTCATTCGATTGTTTTCATCTGCAAAACCAAGGGGGGACTCATAGTCACTACTTATTCTTCACAGACGACACAACGCCAACTTTGCAACAGTAGAACCCCCCTATGCTAGGTGCGTTCCTTACACAAGCTCCGCTTGAATTTCTGACACAGAAGATGCAAGAGCAATAATGATAAATGAATGTTTGGGATCACTAAGAGTCGTTCGCTGAAACTGCATAGACTTATCAGTACTCAATACTGGCTCTACTGGCTCCGTATGTGTTAGATGGCGTGCCTGTCCTAGCTTTGAGCTAGACCACGGCTGACGAACCCGTTCCTTTTCACGTTGTCCACTGCCGAACGCAAAAGAGAGCGGGTACCGGCCATCTCAATAGAGCAGTGCTGGAATATTACCGGAAGGCTGAGCTCCGGCTTGTGCTAGCAAAGATGCCGTTATCGGTTTCGTTTGTACCAACATAGCAGAATAACTATAATCGTTTCTCCACCAGAAGCAAAGTCAACCTTTACTATGGTCAAGAAGATCTTTAGCGGAGTGCGAGAAGTCACGCCTGCCTCTCCTTGACCGTTTGTGGAAACCTAAATACTCAACCGTACCAATGTTCATTTAATCACATGACAACCCTGCGGGAGACGCTAACAGGTTTCGGCTATACGATCGTCAGTTTCAAAATATTCCTGACTCTCATAGGCCATGAAAAGATTCTGTCATTGATATCCTCACAACAACTATTGGTTTCAACCTAAAGTTCCCAGTGGTAGTCACTTGTTTAAGAAAGGAGCGCACCCCAGGGCGCAGATACCAGTCGCCGTTGATAATTCGTGGCGTGCCTCGACGTAAGAAGAAAACCGTTTCCGCGACGCCTTATTATAAACACTCTCTTTGCTCAGGCGCATAAGGTTATTCCTATGTCCATCCACGTGAACGTCAACATCTAAAAGCAACAGCTCATCGACATCCTCATTGATCCATGCGGCCCGCTCTAACTGTCATAACTTATTGTGGCTCGATATGCCTTGCCGGCAGACCACATACCATGTGAAGCTTTGGTTAATGCGTTCCCGGCGATGGCGTACTTATCGTTCCATCTAAAAACAATTTGTCGGAAAATCTATGTTTCGTAGCTGCGGAATTATCCTAAACTACAGCAGCCTCCTAGTGGAGGATTCGGGATGCCATTTCTGTAGATGGCTTCCGTATTGTCACCTTGTTCAATTGACTTGTCCACCCATATGGAGTGCCTCGTGGATATATTTGGGCGAGTAATACTACTTCGAAACGAAATTTTCTTAGTTATGGCGGCTTGGAACAAGACCATAATTATTAGAGAAGGGGTCTGGGAAACAAGTTGTCGGTACGAGACTTCAAGCACTTCAAGCCCCGCCTTCAGACAAGACAACTAGTTAGGAACCAGCATCTGAGGAATACGCTCAACCCCTTGCTGAGCGGTGCCATTCAATGAGTACAGGCTCGCTTCTCTCGCAGTGGCTAGAGATCATTCTTTTCATCAGCTAAAAAGGGGAAAACGACCGTAGTCAGCCGGCTTCTGAGTAAGGTACGGCCAAGAAAAATGGCTACTACGAATTGTTGCTTTGTACAAAGAAACCTAGTAAGTCTGTAAGAACCATAGCAATCATTCTGGGGAAACAAACCCTTCTATTATGATAGCGTGCCCAATTGTGCCGATTACATCAAGCGGGCTCTAGGAAAGCCTACACAACCAATTTTTGCGGTGTATTCAAATCTTAAGCGACCTTTGACTCAGCTTCCCGGGACACTATGTTAGGGATACTGGCAGAGGTAGGGCTGCTTTCACATATCTTGAATCTGTCAATACTATAGGAAAACAGTGTGCCGCTGAGAACCTGCTTGGCCATTTGGCCTGCTATCAGTTCCAAATTTAATTCAGCTAGAATTTTTTGTGTAGCGTATTCAAGCGACACGTCGACGACTGCGTATCTACTAATATTGTTTGACACACTGGTACCGTAAAAAAAATTATTTGCGTATTAAGGAGTATGGCTAGTAAATGGTTCTGATCCCGAATTGAAGATTTTTCATTTTATCATCATGACGGATAGTAGTTATATTAAATGTGATTTTCAGGAATGAAGATTCTTACACACGGAGAATACTCGTAAAAAAATATTTGTCTGTTTTTGTTTCACTATTGTCTTAGAAACAGTTTAGAAGATAAATTACAATCTGATAAGGTGCACCTTGTACATTAGGTGGTTGGACTGTTTTCAAGCCAAAATTAAAGTAAATAAAAACAATATTGCGCCATTTTGAGCGATGATTTTTGCCACTGTTATGGTAACACTACAGTTTCTTCACCATAGAATTTTTACTATTATAACAAATGATTTTCGCGTCGCTCTGTTAAAGCTAAGTTAATTAACATCTGTATTATGTGATCCACCTTTCATCATCTGTAGTCAACAGCCTTAAAAATACCTCCATTTATCGGCAGAGTTTTGTAAGCAGAGATACGGTCGAGCAAATTCTTTTGCCTCAATTCGTGTGACGTACAAACGTCGAGCTTTCTGCGTAGCCTGCTTCTTTAAAGTAGCTTGGTGGTGGATATTTAATTCCTTAGCGATGTCATGGCTACCCACATTCGGTCTTGCTGCAATCATTCCCTCAACTTTTTTTTATAATTTGTCAGTTACTATGGAAAATATCTCCCAAAACTATATTTTGGGTCCATGAACAACATATTGTATTTTCTGGCAGTATTTGTTCCTTTATCGTAATAAAATTATAAAATATAGCGAATTCCACTGTAGACATTTTTCTTACTTTACAGCACTTTATCTTGAGACAATTTTAGCCGGCCTGCTACTGTCAGATCTCAACTTGCACATCACACCAATACTGTCCCAACGTAACTTATCAAAACCTGAAATATGCGACCTCGAAGCCATTTAGCTAGGAAAACCGTAAATACTTGTCCAATTACCCGGTATAAACTTACCAGCCAGCTTAACTTATCTGATGTGCGATCGGACTCGCCCATTCTCTGAGGTTATCCTTACTCGTTCTTAGTTCGTAATATATTTTGTTTATAAGCGTGCTAAGGAAGGGTATGATAAGTGCGATAAAATTGACTTGATTTCATAATAAATACATTATATTGCCTTCTTCCATTAAAATGGGATTCGGTTTTCTAAGAACGGCCCTCAGACTTGGTGACGATTCGGTAGCCTATCTATACGATGGAACTGGTCTCCTTTAAAAAGGCCAAAGCACAATTAGGAAAGAAATACATCTTTGCTATTTTTCAATTTTACCTTTATGACTCTAATTCAGTTAAAACCACTATGTGATTATTATATTTAGAACATCATAAAACGTTTTGGTGGCTTCAAATATTCCGTTATCGATAGTCATTTTTGAAGATTACGAAAAGCGTGTTTTATCGCTGCTGAACCAATCCTAAATTCGACAAGAGCAAGGAGCGAGAAAGTAATTTCCTTCATGGTAAGATTTCGAAAAATTTGCGATAAAATGTAAAGACTTAGTTAAGAAGAAGTGTTAAGAGAAGAGTTGAAGTACTTTGCAAATTTGTAACTTTATTAGAGCAGTTTTTCTACTTAGTGTTTTCATTAGAAATCAACATTTGGCGATTAATTGGAAGTAAACTCGATAAGGGACGGTGGACTTACCCCCTAATGGGGGCAGTCGTGGTGGGGACTTGAAGTAGCCATATCTTCGTATTGGACTGGCCTTTCAAGCGAAGAAAATTCCTACTTTGCGATGTTCATTTGTTAGAATATTAAAAGTACTGAGTTATAGCTATTTTTACCTAAAATACTTATTTTTTCTTGCAAAATGGTGCGTTTTATTATGTACAAAGGCGAATAATCCTTTCTATTTGTGGGTATATATATGCAACATTATGTACGCACCTTTGTTATATGCCTAAACAAATTTTGACATGAAGTCTCAGATGAAATTTCTTTGGCCTTTTGATTGCGGCTCGGGTATGTGTCCCACTCCTCTCGCTAAGGATAACAATGATTGATTTGGGCCTTTCGTCGCTTCGTAATATGTCTTAGAGCGAACAATTTACAAATAAATTAAACTCAATGTTTGTTATCCTTATGTCATAGTGTTGAATCTGACATTGATCGACTTGCCGGGGTTAACCAAAGTTCCTGTCGGAGACCAGCCGGCTGATATCGAACATCAAATTCGAGAAATGTTATTTCAGTTTATCAAGAAAGAGAACTGCCTTATACTTGCTGTCACCTCAGCCACGCAAGATCTCGCTACTTCAGATGCCTTAAAAATAGCTAAAGAAGTGGATCCTGATGGTAAGTTATTACACGATAAAGACAACTGCATATGAAGAACTGTGCTTTTGCTTTTGTTGATGTTCAAGCTGTTGTTGTGGCCTGCTTGATTTTAATTGTGAAGCAGTTAAAAAGGGGTAAATACGGCAGTTGCGTAGACTATTGGTTTTAGACATATAGAACCAAAAACAAATTTACTCTAGGATGTTTTAAATAATAAATTAATCTGACCTATGCCAATAAAATAGTCGACTCTTGGATTTTTGGTATGACATGAAGTTACTTCGGAGGTGCCAACACGGAATTAGGTGTACGATCTCTTTATCTACAGCAACAGTCTGGCCATTCCGTTCTATTCACATTTTCTTTTTTTGAAAAATAAGTTATATATATCCTATCTATTTACCAAAAATCATAATCCGGTTTAGACCGAAGCACGCAATGTACAATGCATTGTTATTATATAAAAAATAAAGGATCCTTAAAACCGATTTCTAGCTGTCCTTTGATTCAAAAACATGCTCAAAGAAATTTTAAAGGATCTGCATAATTTGTAACATCAGGCACACTGTGTGGTTAATTCCGATTTATTTCATAGCACAATTAACGCCGATCTACTCAAGTATTTCCGGCAATTGGGAGTCAGCCTAAGTGATTAATTACTAGGTTTCTTTTTCAAATAAGACATTCGAATATTATTGATATACCTGACTCGATCTGTAAGGGAAACTTTTATGCTGGAACAGGCGATTTCAACGTAAACATTTAGTTTTTATTGAATATTCATTAACAATCACTACATAGAACAAAAACAAAAGCTGCTTTCTTTGGGATCGAAGTGTACATTAGAATTAAAATTCGGTCGAACATAGCTCTTTTAGTGATCTTAGCTCTCAATGGTGATTCCTTAGTAAACCTCAAACTTTTTTATAGAATGGTTTCTCCGAAGCTTGATCTGAAAGACGCTAAAAGACGAATAGACCTGTAGACTACGGTAGGTAGTTAAGCGATCTGAACTCACTAAATTTGTTATTCACCGCAACCAAGGCCTCCGTGAGCCCAACAATTATTCTGGTGGAATTATACGTTTAAATAAGATCAGTTTGTATCCATGATGTCCTTAAGCTTACCCAAGATAGTTTCATAATGATCGTCAATATTCGTTTTATGTAAGTAACAAATAGTAAGTAATAAAAACTAAAAATTATATTTTATGCACATTGTCAAGAACAGTTTTCTGACGGTGAAGAAATTGTTCGCCAGGTTCTGATGAAGTCTTCTGATGCTATTTATATCAAAAGGAAAGCGATCAGTCCACTTTTTGTCAACAGCATTTTGGATTAGCGCTAAACTAGGTCATCAGATAAAATCTTCTTGCTTTTTCTTCTTCGCTTGAATTATTATCTCTATTTTATGACGTCAAAGATATCGCGTGTTCTCTATAAATCTGCAATTTGCAAGGAGAAGTGCACTCAGACAAATTTAAAATGACATAAAACTAAAGTGTCTAACTAAAGTCTAAAAGGGCTCTTAGCAGAATTAAAGAAAAAACGTTTCTAGGACAACCAAAAATGGGTACCATTTCAGAAGAATGGTCAAATATCTTTAAACATCGTTGACCGATGATGAGCAACGGTGCTGTTTTTACATGGCAACAAAGCCGAGTTGACGAAGATCAAGTTAAGGAAATCGATGTCGAAAAAGCTTAAATAACAACTTGTTTGAAACCATTGACACTGAGGGACCACTTGTAACTTGTTTTGAGTGAAGTTATCTGGTGTAAACGCTTGTTTTTTAGGTTGATACGCAAGCTGCTAGTCTTGTAACATAACATAATTTTGTTAGGCGTTTAAGGAAGTACACTTATGTATGCCAGTGGTTTTAAAAGGCAAGTGCCTTCGCTTGGTATGCAGATAGATATTCGTGTAATCGTCCAGAGCTAAGTGCCATTGAAGTGCTACTTAAGTCTGCCATTTGATTGTCTGCCGAAAGGGTTTAGGAAGACAATTTTATTATTTTTTCTAGCAAATCACCTTATTGGAAAATGTCGTTCATCGAAAACGATGTTCCATCTACTATGTCTGAATTCGCAATTCCCCATTAATTATATATTCCTGCTTATACAATCTGACCTTTTGAATCATTAAAGTAGAGAATTTGATAACTGCGCAACTCTTTTCATCCAAAACAGTAAGCTAAACGAAATCTTTATCTTTTATCGCCTCGGCGGGTACTGTCTGAAGGATGAAGCTGTTTAAAGCATCATAGCATTCGAGCAGGCCATTGGTCGCTTTAGTTCCCTTTTAAGTCTCTTTTAAGAAAAAGAGGACCCATAAACGGGTTATATAGATAGAATATATTTCAGAAAATATTTTATTATTTATGAGGTGGCAATAGTATGAGATGCTATGAAAAATTATTTTAAGCTACTTAAAAAATGCTTATGAAATTTTAGCCTAATCCTCTATCAGCGACGGTGTTAGAGTAAAAACATTGTGACAGTGGGTCCACCCATTATCCGAGGGCCCGTGCCAACTTTTTACCAAGAATTTATCTTTATAAATTTTTTCCCTCAAAGCATTTATCGGGTGATTTGTTGTGCATTTTCTCGGTTCTTGGCTAACATTCCAACAAGTTAGAAATTTTATCCCTCCAAAAGGTGATGTTTAAACTTACTATGTACTGGCTTGCTATTTATTTAACATATCATTTTTCCTCATGAGGAATTAAAAGAATAAGCGTTTTTCTTCGAACCATAATTAGAGCTATATTGTGGTTGGCAACAGGTGTACTTTTTTGCCAGACTTTTAAACGAAAGACACAACGACTGAAATAACTGTGACATCAACAAAAGCAAAAAGGGTATGCAGGAAAAAAAAGATACATATTTAGTAAGAAACATATATGCCGTTTAACTATAAAGCTGGTTCTAAGTTCTCCACTTTTTTAAATGGCAATCTGTTATCTCATTTAGAAAGTAACTATGGAGTATGACATAAAGCCTTGTAGGAACTCTGGGTACATCCCTTAAATAAACCTAGAGCAGCAATTCAAGCAACAATATCAGATATTTATTCTGCAATGCATAGTTTTTATATATATTGCTGTTATGTTATAGGTATTCGGACAATTGGAGTGATCACAAAATTGGATCTGATGGACGAGGGTACAGACGCTAGAGATATTTTCGAAAATAAACTGCTTCCTTTACGAAGAGGCTACGTTGGAGTTGTAAACCGAAGTCAAAAGGTAAGCTAAGATTGATGTACGACAAATTCATTGTTTGCGTGTACGATTTCGGATCTATATGCTGATGCACTTTTCTCAGTGTACTTAGTATGATGACAGTATTTTCTGCCTAAGGTGATGACATGGGTCTTAGTAGTTTTACTTCGTAAAGTCATTCTTGTGTGTGGTGCGGAGAACCCTATGATTAAAAACAGTTTAAAAGATGGCACTCGAGTTTAATCGAATCGTCTGCAGCCTTTTGAATGACAATAATTGTTAAATTAGCCTATACTCTGGACTATAAAGTGTCACCCTGTATAGATATCGTAGGTTGCTTTCGCGTATTTTTAGCAGAAAAGCGAGAATAAAATGCTATTTTTAGCATTCGAGGTTTCCTTTTGCGGATTTAATTCATAGCAAAAATTGTGTGATATGGACTACATGATTTAAGTTGCTTCTATCTTGTAGAACATTATCTGTTTTATTGAAATTATAATTTTAGTTATTATTTTTTTATTAAAGTTTAGTTATTGTGCGTTGGGATATCCTTCGACCACTTAATGAGTCCTTAATGAGGTAACTGATGTTGGTTTTCTTAAACGAGGCATATTCATACCAGCATTGTTTTTTTGCCTCTTTCCAGGTGACTTTTTCTTCTAAGTTTAGCTAACTACAAAGTACATTAGTTAGACAGCAAATAAAGTTAGTAAAGACCCAACTCGTCCGTGTAACGGTTAGATTCCGTATTGTGCGTCTCGGTCTTCTCTGACAACAGGTTGCACAACATACGTTACATCCATTATTTTTGTGAAAACACTTACGATAAATAGTGTTAGGAACGTTAGCCGATCACTTCGGAGAAGCTTTTAGGATAGTATTTTTAACATAGAGCAACTCTCAATGGCGAACTGCAACACTTTCCTGTTACAGTAATCGGAACTCATCGAAGCCGGGTGGTATAGATGTCAGGCCCCAAGTTTCGTTAAAAAGAGATCACAAATCTTACTACTGCTAGGCAAATTACCACTTTGGGATTAGCTTTCACGTTCAAGTCATTAAATTTTATGGAACGATCCTCAAACATTTGTGGTTACCCAGAAATACGAGCCCAAAAATAGCCTGGCGGGTAATATTGCCCCTCCGTTATCTGTGCCAAGGCAGGTTCAGTAATACAATTAAATAATGCGTTTATAATTTTTGTTCTTTTCTGACTGTTAGGATATTGAGGGTCGCAAGGATATCAAAGTGGCCCTAGATTCTGAGCGAAAGTTCTTCCTTACACATCCAGGATACAGGTAAGCCCCCTGTACAACTGCCGTCTTTAAGTGGTATCCACTCCCTCTACCTCACACAAGTAAGGTATGGAAAGCAAACAGGTGCTTAAAGCAACCTTTGCAACAGCGTTTGTCATAACAGACGAGTTATTATTGAGATATAATTGTTGTATATAACTACTATATTGTTGTGTACGTAACTGTGGCTAGAAATCGTAGTCTGGAGCAGGATTAGCGGATATAATAATATGATATATGATAATATAATGGATAGCAGGTGGGTATCGAGGTTGTGAACACAGAAGGTCATGAGAGAATTGGTTTACGAAATTCCAAATAAAAAAGGTATCCCGTTATTGACCTGCTTCAGGTTTCGCGGCAAAATCTGTGTCGATGCTAGAAAAAAATAAGCAAAAATTATTGAACTATGAAATTGTACAGGTATTCATTATTGGTAGAAAAACATAAATTTGGGTGGAAACATCAATGACTGATTTTCTATAGAAACGTCCAGTACCTTTTCAAACGGAATAAAACAAGAATGTTTTATTTCATTTAAATTTCATTTTTTTAGTTATATTTAAGCTAAATAATCATATTTGATTGCGAATGATAAAAGCTATGAAGGAAAACCAACCACTCTCCTGCGACGCAATACAAAGAGCAGCTATTTTTGAGAAAAATATCGTCCACTTTGTCAAACGCACGGAAGTGGTTGAAGCGCTAGTGCATAAAATTATGTTAATATCTATTTTTAAATCTTCTACTTAAAAGTCGTGGTGTAAAAAAATATACATTTGTATACATTATCTTCTCCATTATAAGACGCTGGATGTAGTTTTGAAAAATTGGCCTTCAGGGTTCGGTTTGATAATGGGACTTTTGTTTTAGAGGTGGTCATCACAGTCGGTGATGACAGAAAGATTACCGCTTTTTTGAAGCAAAGATCATTAGTATAAGTAAAACTTTTTGAAGCAAACAATTTAAAGCAAATTTTCATTGAATGACCAACAGAGGCTATAGTGGGTCTTTATCCTCTATAGCCTTTATTGTATACAGATATATTAATAGCGACGACATCAAAAGTGAACTGCATACCATTTACTTACCTATTCTTTGTTTTTATGGATCGTTAATTAGTGAAGTCTTCTTTTTAAAGCTAACCTTTCGGAGCATCATGGCAACACTTTTACCATTTATTTAGGCGTCGTATGTTTATGGCGCAAGTCCGATTTGGATCATCAGAAGGTTGTTTGCTTAGCAGGACAAGCTTTCCCGATTGACATCACCTGCATTTTCTCGTCTCATTTTGTAAATTATAATTTTATCCTGGACACTTTCGGCTAAAAAAGCTAGATACGTTTGCGTTCACTTTAGAAACAGAAATTTAAATGTACCAGCAAATAACTATTTTCCGAAAAAAAAGTTCCTCGTTATTTTGAACGCTGACACAACGATCTAATTTTTCAATTTTTCTTTTCCGGAAATTTTCCACAACGGTTTGATTTTTATGGAAAAAATAAAATCCATTGTTCAGCCATAAACACATCTAAAGCTATGAGAATCACGAAAATATGTTCAAAAATAACATTTCGACGCGACAGAGAGCTATTTGCTGGTACTAAGAACTACGCATTTTAAGACCATAAACGACATTACTCTTCGTACCTATTGATGACCAATGGCGTTATTCTTCCTACGCTCGCATATTTCAATTGGCTGTGGCTACGATGATGCGGCTAACAGGTTCTTCGTGGTGCTAAAATATTCCCGCTTTTATAAAAATACAATAAATACTATGACAGAAAGCAAAAATAGATTTAACATAAAATGGAGTAAAGATACTATTAAAAACTGAGGTTATCAAACAATACTTACAAAAGAAATTGAAAAAGGACCCACTTATAGAAAAAAAAAACAGAGAATAAATTATGAAAAAGAATAAGTAACGAACATTATCGTAAGCAATAGAAATGGTTAAGAGTACATTTTTAGTAGGTTTTTGTCGTTTCCTTTAACATACTTCCACGATTTTTGCTCAAACGCAGGATGTTTTTACTTCACCTAATATTAAAGTTACTAATTTCTAGAATTAGTGTATCCCTATCATGAGCTCTAACTCGTATAATTTCGCTTCCAAAACAAAGCGACAATTAGAAACATATAGAGCAGGGAGATAGCTTTTGTTAGTATACTTGTATAATATTTGCACTCGAGCAGACGGCACTGTTGCCAATCTATCTCACCGGTTGACCGTACTTTATGATCTAGTACATACTAGTTGCCGCTGAGGGCTATATAAAATATATATCAGTTTACAGTGTAACGCGTAGCTCAAGCCAATGAGAAGTAAACATGCCTCTGATGGTGATATGTGTCTAGAGTTAAGGCTGATGAAAAACAAAAATGTCCCTTGCGAGACGTACGCTATCATAAGTAGTTAAAAAGTATATAAACAGGGTGTCGAATTTTCAGGCAGTCTATCCATATGTATACACATACTTTTGTTTCAAAGATGTGTGATGTTTTTCTTAGAAATCTTTGCTCGTGCATTTCCGGGATATTGAAAATGGTTCTTTTCCTGTAAACATTGACATGACAAAAAGGCAATTAGCTTGGGATTCATCGATGTTAGCTAACGAATTACTGAAGTCGACTCAAACACATCGTGCTAATTGAGACAATTACTCATTTTCGCAGGCATATGGCAGACCGCATGGGCACCCCGTACCTGCAGCGTGTGTTGAATCAACAGCTTACGAACCACATCCGAGACACCTTGCCCGCCCTCAGAGACAAACTGCAAAAACAGCTTTTAACACTCGAAAAGGAGGTAGTTACAACCATAAAAAGACGCAAAGTTTACGAAATGATAACGAGGGGCGTCTACGTGATAAAATGTCTGAAACGTCGGGTATTATCATTATTCGATCTTAGAGAGCGGACTTAATCGATGACATTTGTTGTGAATCGTGATTCGAACGAAGCTTCGTAAAAAAATTACATGTAGGGATACAAAGCTGTTCACCGGAAAAAAAACGCAGCGTTTCACTCGAATTCTAGTAATAAATAAATTAATTAAATAACAATAATATCTGCATCCGTTATCACTCTCTATAGCTTTATCCCTACTCCCAATCCACTTATTCTTTTTTGCCAGAAATTTTATAATCTGGTGTTGAAAATTTTTTAAGATTATCTGTGCTGTAAAATGTACCATTACTAACTTCATCTGCTAGTGATTGCAAAAAAATCATACGAGTATTCGTGGAATCTAAGGAATACGGAAAACGCAAAAAATCGTCTTATTTAAATCTTTGCAAAGCTGCCTTTACAATTATCGCCATGGAAGGCCTCACATTGTTTGTCTTGCCTATCAAATCTTTCGTTATGAGTAACCTAGTTAAACGATGTAGCCGGTCCGTAATGCAGATTTTTGCTTACCACCCTGTTCTTCTCAGTCAGCCCCCATATACTCCTCGCGCCACCACTTAGTTATTTTCGGATCGAAATGTGACTTAATTTAGGCTTATTTGTATCATAGGTTCCCATTTCTTTGACGCGAAAACGGCAGCTTTGTTACCGGCAACAATTCTGTGGTAAAACCTCTTTAGTTACGCCTTGGTCGGTGCTAGACGATAATTTGAGGGTCGATGAGAAACTGAGTTGCTGTGAGCGCTTTGATCAGGCTCTTAATCAACCATACATTGAAAATTGCCAATAGTAGGCTAGTATTCAAACCCTTTCCTTGGCCACTAAGCGGGATGTTTGAACGAGGTGTGCTATATTCGTGCACTTCCTTCACCTGAAACATCCATGCCTAATGTAAAATCCATTAGAACAGATTTATAAAGGCAAAAGGGCGCTTTCGAATGTTATCGAAGAGTAAATAGCAAGTCAAAGGGAAAGGAGCATTCAAATAGGACCCTTATCGGTGTTACCTACCAAGATAAATACGCTCAGAATTTGAATAACATGTACTACAAGTATAATCACCAGTGTTATTAGGTTAACTTAACTGATGTATTAATAACAAATAGATGTTGATTTCCAGCACCAACCCATGATATGTCTGCCTTTAAACTTATTCCTCTAATACTGCTCAGTCTACTGGGAGTCGTAGATAGGCAAGGATTTATAAGTGTTTACCATGTATCACCCGCTGATGGTTAGAAATTCTTTGAAATTTTTGACCTGCTAAATAACTAAAGGCAATTTGATAATTAAAGAACTTAGTATTTCATAGGTTATGTAGCATTATAATACCGGATTAGGTGTTGGTAGCCTGCCGGTAAGCTCCATGTTGCCAACAATTGACATGTATCATCGAAGAATATTCTATTCACTTCGAACGCTTGTCAGTTTGTCAAAACAGAAAAAACTAACCAAAATGATTCCCGCACGGTTCACGTTTATTTTTTTAACGCTTCTAAGCGTCTGCCAAGCTTGAAGCAGATCAAGCAGTTCCACAATGATAAAGTATTATAAGGCATAAAATAATAGCAGAAATGGAGTAGCCGCGTATACTGTGAATATAGGCATGTCTATGTTCAAATATAGTCCGTCTATAAAGTAACGCAAGGGCTATTTGCCCACACTTGTCGTTTTATTGATTGACGTTTCGATGTTTCGGTAAATCGCACCGGCAACAGTGGAAAATTGCTAATAGGAACGAAAGAGCATTCTGTCTATTGTAAAATTTTATTAGAAGTATTTGGGCTTCTAGAAAATTTACTTCTACTCCTATTACATTTCGAAATGAGTAAAACGGTCCTCATTTTTTTATATAACCCTGTTAAAAAGGTATCGAGGTTTTACCTATATAACTACAGTCATCATTATTCACTATATACTCCACATTGAACTAACAACCGATAATACACTCTTTGCCGGTGTCGAACAAGCAAAATCTACTTCGGCCACAATTTGCCTCAGCGAACCAAGAGCGTCCTTAAGAAATATACTGATTGAGTTGACATCGTTGCTATAGTATGCTAGATACTCCAACCATTTTACGGGTAGTTCAGTTCGAAACCGCTTAAGCCTGCCGTTAGTACATATACCTTCGTCATTTATTGTTTTCTGATACACACTAACTCCAAACAGTATTTATTACACGTAGTTAAACTCGTAGCCAGGTCCTTTTCGCTCTATCTCTGGTCGACCGCTATCCATTGATAGTCTCTCCTAGCAATTTAGCATAGTTCCAATGGGAGATTTGACTATCTTGGTCTGAGATGCGCTGCCCGCTTTTTTCCTTATATCTTTTCAAGCCAGATTTCATACGTTTGCACTAATCATCAGCTTAAATATAGTATTCAACTATTTTGACGTCGATATTGTGACAATAAATAACAATTCCCATTGCATATGAGTAAATTTTGCGTTCCACGCGTTGCTATACAGTAAAACCTCGTTGTTCAGCGTCCCTTTTTCGTATGCTATTGCCCCATTTGATGAAGAATTAATTTCTTCACATCTCTCCCGACATCGACGAATACGCAGATTTGGTAAACTGTGTACGCTAAAAAAGATGTTGCATAAGATCCATCCAAGTAGCTGAATAGACAGAACACACAAGGTTAAGCTTACTATTCCCAACTATAATTCTATCCTACCACTAAACAAAATTAGTTGCTGTAATACAAGTCGAAGTAACCCTTGTGTAAAATGTTCACTCTATGTAATAACGTGGGTTGTTCGTGGCTGATGCAGGTGGAGGAATACAAACACTTCCGTCCAGATGATCCATCACGGAAAACAAAGGCCATGCTGCAAATGATCCAGCAGTTGCAAACAGACTTTGAACGGAACATTGAGGGCAGGTCTGAAATGTTTTGTTTATTACTCTGGATTAGAAAATAGTTGTTGCTATATAATAGTGTAATACACCTAGATAGACAAATCATCAAAAAACACACAGGAGGCAACGAAAATTAGCTTTTATGTAACGCAGATGGTAAATCGTGGTGACAGATGCTTTACCTACAATTCGGACAAATTTGTATACTCTTAATTCTAAACATGATTCGATCGGTTCGTTTAGATCAGTCTCGTAATCCTCGATATGGCCATCCGCAATGGAAAGGTAGTAGAGTGGATCTATATACTGTGCAAGTACAATATTACGCATTGATAAATCACAGCTTTTCTAAAGCTCTCAAGGGGCGTATTCCCCTACCGAAGGACGTAGATAAAAAAGTTTTTCTATGTTAGCAATGCGCGATATTTATACTGGTAGATTGAAAGGCTCTCCAAGAGTACTATATAGCCAAGAGATCATGTTGCTTGCATTGATATTGCGACACTAAGTAATCGTTTGGACTAAATCTCCCCTTTGTTGAAGGGAGGCACGAAATAAATGATTTTAATAATTATAAAAATTTAAAGTGATTATATACAGTATTGTTGTTATTCATTGTAGGGGTATAAGAATAGACTTTGAAGAAGAAAACAACTAGGCTTTAAGTGGAAAACAATTTTTTCTATCCTTCGCAGTAAGCTTGCGTTTCTCCTACTTTACGGTATACTAATCTAACTTAGAACGTGTATTATGGTCAGCAAGCTATTATCAATAGAAATAGCGCGATGCATACATTATTCCACTCTGTCGTTGTTGTATCGTTGTTTTTTAATTCGAAAGGCATATTTTTCATATTCGGCCCACATAACCCACCCGTTTTATTTCTAATAGATATGTTTTAGTGGATGGAATCATTCAATTTAAAAGGGGGCGGGCAAATCATCTGCCGTTTGAAATCGTCTCATCGACCGCTTCAATTATTGCCTCTAGGTTTAACCAGATTCTGTATTTTTGTATTATAGTGGTTCAGCTGCAATCAACACAAGCGAATTGAGCGGAGGCGCCCGTATTAACCGGGTTTTTCACGAACGATTTCCCTTTGAAATTGTTAAGGTTTGTGCTTCGTCATAATCTTTCGATACGTCATAATGGTTCAGTTAGATCAGAGATAGATAAATTTGCTTTATTTCATTTAAGTTATAGATTTCTCATAGTAAGGGTCAAGCTAGCCATAGTTTTGTATTAACATTTTTTTTATGACTCTTTGCGAACGAGTTGCTTAAGTATCTATAAAGTGAATTTCTGTTAAGACCATTGAAAATGATGTTCTGTAACACACCTTTGTTCATCGAATTAATACGCAGGCCATATAGTGCACTACCTGTTACTTCGTAGTTCTGATAACAAACATCTTTGCATTGCTTTTTGTATAAAACGTTCCCATCAATTTCCCGATGAACGTACTTAACCTATATCAAATATGTAATTTTGCATACAGTATACTTGGAAGGTCAGATACGTTGAAAAATGTATCGGACGAACAAAAATCTCATGTTAAGCTGTAATAACACGCATGGTAACGCTTGCATTGTGTACAATAGATATAAACTTTATTAGACAAATTCTCTATTAGTAACTCTATAACAAATTATTAGTAACAAAAACTCTATTAGTAAATGCGACAAACACCTGTTTTATGCCTCAGCACGTTTAGGTAATTTTGCCTAATGACACTGGCTGACTCTGTCCTCGGAGATGATAAATATCCATAGGAAATCATTCACTAGTTTTCTGTCACCCTGTTTAATGAAGACATCCGGTCATTTCCACATTTCTATTGATACCAATTGTATAACTCTGAAATTATAGCTAGTTTTGGACAAGACGGCCAACTGAACTGTGGGAAACGTGTGCAAATGTATTATAAATTAATCGTCACGATAAGAGAGTAACTTAATTCATACACTTCACTTTTCGGCGCGTAACTTGTGTCGCAAATACATTTTAAACACGCTGAACGACTTTTCGCAGAAATGTACCTTTAAGAAGTTTGGAATTAGATCCGATTTAAAAATTATCGAAACGTAGTTATTATTATTCTCATAAGGTAACAATACATTGTGTTTGTTGCAGCACACTTTGTTCATACTATTGTCACCACACAAAATAGAAGAAAACTAGTTGCTCTTTTATTATTATTAGTTAATTCTTCTATTTAATGCTTATTAATGTCGCTATATAGCATACTACTATCTATATGCATTGATAAGAATGAAATTTAAACATTCGCTCTGAGTAAACGAGCTGGATTTTCTACGGGTGCATCGAGTGGTTCCTTAGTTTACCGCCTGTATTCATTACCTCCAATCAACGACGTGGGAAATCATATGAACATGCGCATTAGTCCCATTTCTGTCGAAAGAGCATATCTCTTAGAATAAGATGACAGTTGTTATAAGCGTCCTGACGATAATTTGAACGAAAAGAAAAATTCAATCTAATGAGGTAAATTTTCAACTACATGTCATACATATGCTTAACACTACTTCAGATGGAATTCGACGAGAAGGAGCTACGCAGAGAGATTGCTTTCGCTATCCGCAACATCCACGGCATACGCGTCGGCCTTTTCACGCCTGACAAGGCCTTTGAGGCCATCGTCAAAAGGCAGATCGCCAAGCTGAAGGAGCCCTCGATCAAATGCGTCGACCTCGTTGTCCAGGTGTGTGTTCTGATTAATTTATGGCTCGCCTAATTAATTTCCAAAAAATTTCATTATTTAAAATAGGTACACATCGTACTAGAGTTATTCTGCGTAATTTAAGATGCTTTTTTATTGATGGAGAAAAGTTTTACGCGCAAGCCTTTAAGCCTTTCTAAATACGCAACAGAAGCTCAATCGCTTATTACATTAGTGGAACGGAATTAAACATGTTTTTATTTCGTACTGATACTTTTAAGGAACAGGACGTCTTTGAGCATAGATGAGTACAATATCGTTAACGGTACCTCCCTAATGCAATAGGTATCATATGCTAGAAGAAGTCGGCAGGAGGAGCTGCTCCATTGTTATTCATCTGATAAACTTTTCCGAATAAATATTTAGGAGTGTTTTTATATTCCCACCCTTTTCTAAAAGCAAAGTGTGAGGCTCGGACACTCGTAATGTAAGTGAATGTTATTTTCTTGGCCAACGGCGAGGTGGCTCATGCTACCGCCATGGCTTTGCATATGACATGGTTACGTGATTCAGATTAGCGAGGAACTAGTAAAGGTTTATTAGTCATTTAGGCTATTTCAAAAATTGTAGCAGTCGTATTTAAGACTACTGTCCGTATCGAAAGCAGTACAAAAGGAAATTTTCGCCTTCTTATATCAATTCACTATTCATTGGTCTCCCCTAGCACGTCTTACTTTTGGGTTAATATCTTAATGCATGACTGTTTGCAAAGCTGAGTTCAATGACACGCCTTCAAGTCCTGCATGATGCGCCCGAAACTACAGATAGTATAACTAGAACAGCTTCATTTTCAAACGCCGCTTACTTAAAACATCTCGAATCTTTAAACTGCGGTCATATTTGGGAACACTCAACATCTCCATCCGCTTTCAGCACAAGGGGCTCCAACTCCTTACATAATTTCTCAGATCTAGACCCAGTAATACACTAATTGTACCAGACTACAAGCTCAGCTAGAAGTATCAATTTTCGTGATATAAACAAATTAATATTTCATAAAATAAAAATATCCGTGAGATAAAAAAAGAACAGAGCATAAACGCTTGACGTAGGCTTGCGCCAGTACTGTAAATAGGTGGCCCCTCGCTCCTTCCATTGCGAGAAGTTCGTAGACTCTTTCATTAACCATGAACCTACACAACTTGAAAATTGCGAACGAAGCCCACACTTGAACTAACAAACCTTACAATTGTTTAATTGACTTTTCTAGCTACTGAACGAATAGATTCTATCTTCTCCAATATGAACGAAGCGGCGGTTATCTCTTCGGTTTTAATTACTACGGGTATAGTATTGTTTCGGAGTTGCACCGAGATCTCAGTATTTCCATTTGTCAGTCATGGAACGATACGCGCGGTATCTACAGTTTAGCGAACCAACCCAAGGAGCACTAATTGACGATGATTCTTTTCCTGCGCAAAACCAAAGTGGCTGAGGCTCACTCATGTAGCCTGTTATAGTTGATAGTCAGCCTACCCTTTTCTAATCTGAAATACTTGTTGTTAAGTGACAAATATTTTTTTTTTTTTTGTTAGCGATGTATGCACTGAGTTTAATTAAATCTCACACATTTTTCTGATACAAACATAAGATTACAACGCAAAATGGATTAAAGGGTTTAAAACCAATTAGGAAACTAACACAACGCCATCGATAGAAATGTAATCAAAATAATTTACAATCAGCAAGATGAAGCGATTAAATCATAAAAATGTTCTTGATTTTTTATTCTTAATATATTTGATTTACTTGTATTCTATTATAGAACCTGCTTGTTTTCTCGTAATGACCTTTCATCTTTCTTTTTTCTATAATTTTTTTAAGTCATTTAGCACAGTTGTTATCGTATCTTCGTATCTAAAATTTCAGCTTGGTGTATAATTTTACTGTTTTTTGCTTACTTGTTATTTATATAAAAGATTTTAAAATGGTTATTCATCAACTCATGGCCTGGGTTTAATATAAATATTTGAAATGTATAGGTCCAAGGTAAAGAGCTTGCGGAGTAATTAAAGCTTTATTAGCTTTCTGATAGTTCTTGAGATGTTCATCTTAGGCAAGTCACCATTGCTACAAAAAGAATCCTTATTTTCATTCACTGCTTTAGGTTCTTCCTCTGATTCGA